CTAAAGTTGAGTACTGACAACCCCATTCGGTTTCACACAGTACCCAACCTCTAAGGAATACAGCGTGAATGAGTTATCTAAGGGGCCGTTTACCAAACACTTACCCGATAAACGCTTACTGGTAAAATTTAACACTATCATTTTCTTACCGGGCAACATTTTATTTCACCAAAACGGTATCATATGCAACAATTTATTAGGTAGGTGTTTTACAGTGGTAAAAGTCATCGACCTCACTTACCGGATAAGACTTTTGGTCATTGTATCGCTCAATTGGATAAAATTCTTGGTCCTTACCATATTCATCCGGTAAGGTAATGTGACGTGATGTTCACTTATCCGAGCAAGCGTTCGGTAAACGGTCCATAAAACTCATCCAACGACAATGAATTATCCAACGAGAAAAATACTAAAAATTTAATTGTTATTATATGAATTAATTAATAAATAAAAAGATAATTAAATAAATAATTAGTGTTGGAAGATCACAATCTTATTGAGATCTTTGATCGATCGTCAAAAATACAAAGGAATAATTGGTTTGGTCGGCGTATGATATGATGGATAGATGGGCCCCACAACATATATTTGGATTCTATTGAATGAAATGACATATATTGAATTAATCGGGTTGAAGACATTTGAATAACCCAACCCAATGCTTGTGGTTTGAAATTTTTTAACCCAACCCAACCCACACCGTACAGGTTGACGGGGTTGATACTTTGGTACATTAAAATATACTTCTAACGTTGAATATATTATTTCTCTAAAATATAATTTGGTACGGGTTGCATGTGATTTCTTTTAGTGAAAAGAAAAATACACATAAAAGATATTCATTTGGTAAAATTAATACATGTGAAACTATCACGGTATGAAACAAATATATGTAAAATAATATCTTAAATTCTAGTATTTGATGAAAAAAAATTATTTTTAAATCAGTTCTCACATAATTTGTTACCTTTGAAACTTAAATTCTTGTTTTCGTGAGACGATTTTCACACTTGAAACTTCACAACAAAACACACTGTAAAGGTAACTTTCACCGTGTTTTTGCTGTGATTGTTCGATTTTTTTTACCTTCACAATATTTTGTTGTGAAGTTTCAAGTGTAAAAAACTTGTCTCAACCTCATTTATGTATCTTCCTACAAATACAATAATATATTTATTTAAATTAATTTCGTGTAGTTATATAAAGAGGTATAACACCATCACCTGCGCATGCATTAAAATATTGGATTATTTTTTTAAGAAAATTAATTAATGGAAAATTGCAAATGCAGCATGGTTTTTATTTTTCTATTTATTCCAAAAATAATAAATAATAAATAATAAATAATAAATAATAAAAAAAAGGAGCACTAGTTGTTCTTGAAAAGGCGAATTCAATGAATCCAAAGCTCCACGACAATAAACAAGACTTCAATTTAATGATGAATATATGTTTTTGTAATACAATTAAACGCAATTTTTTATTTATTATAATATTCTTTTTCTTATAAAAAAAATTAAAAGAAAAATCATGGGATATGAACAAACACTACCTCAAATAGAATTCATGAATTATTTTAGTAACTATTTTTCACATCAAATACAATCTATCGTATTTGTACAACCAATGCAACCCAATAAATTGAAATATTTATGGAAATGATTATAGTTCATTTATTATAATTTAAATAATTATGGAAGATGAATACGGTTCATTAATTATGATTAATAACATATATTAGGAAATAATCAAAACCTCTATAAAATCACATATTAATCAAATGAAATGGACGGTTGAGTTTGAGTTGTATTGGTTGCACAAATGACAAGGGTTGTATAATAACCAACCTCTCTCTCTCTCTCTCTCTATATATATATATGTGTGTGTGTGTGTGTGTGACTTTATTCAATGAAGAACTGACTAGTTTGTAATAACTTTGAGATCCAATCTCAATCATAAGTCAATAGATAAATTAGAAAACTAATATTTTTGATAATTTGACTTAAAATTATAATTATAATTTCATGAAATTTTTTCATAAGATTAAATAATGAAATCGACGGATGAGGGTGGTTTGCACGGTTTGTACAAACTGAGTGGTTTGCATTTGATCGTTCCGCTCTCTCTCTCTCTCTCTCTATATATATATATATATATATAAAAGTAAGATCTTTTTTTAACCAATAATATTGTGTTAACTTTGTGAACTTATTGGATCAATAAAATTCATTATTTAGTAGAGGTTACAACAAATGTTTGATTTAGTGATGAATGACAAATAGATAATTTTTATGTGTAAGTTACTTTATGTTTATGGTATTTAATGAGATGCTACTATTTTTTATATGTAAATTACTTTTATGATATCCAATGATGTTTATAAGAATATGTTCATAACCATAAGACATTCATAAGATTGATCAAATATTAATGAACATAATCACATTATTCATAAGTGAACTAATGTTCTTATAGCATGAAATACTTGTGTATATTAATGTTCATAATGATGGAATTTTTTTTAATAATGTCAATGGATTAATGTTCATATGAACATTAATGTCATTATAATGAGCAGTTCCAAACTTTATGAATTTTTTTTCCAATAATACTCTTGTTCATATATGTTAATCTTAGATGATAATGTATTATATTATTAGTTATTATAAAAGTTGTCATCCATTGATTCACAAGATGAATGATTGTGATGAGTTTATAAAGTTAATACCATGAATTGGGTTAACAAAATAACCTACCCCTATACACACACACACACACACACA